CAAATTAATTCCGCACGTGAAAATCACAACAAATTTACACTTCCGAACAAAAAAACAAAGAAACTCGTAACAAGAAATTGCGGCCCGCGTGAATCTCCGTCATTTCCAATGAAAATACGTGTTAAATACGCCTTGTGAGGATTTTTTGTTCTGTAAATAATTGATGCATTTTAATTTAATCCGTTTAAAAATTCATATCGCTTATATTGATACACTCACGTGTATCAATATAAGTACTTACGTGTACTCACGTCAACAAATAATACGCTTAATGTCAATCAATTGATTTACACTTCTTATCATTAAATTATATATATTGGTTTGAATCAAAAAAAAAGAGAGAAAATTGCATTAATTAAAACAAAATAATTGTTAAAATAATACTTGCTTTTATAGAAAAAAACTTATTTACTTATTTAATTAATTAATTAATTTTTTTATTTACTTATTGCTATTTATCTATTCTTTATTCTTTTATTTATTTATTTATTTCATTATGATAGCAAATGATTATAATATTATCAAAAATATAACAATATTATTCCATTCATTTCATATAAATTTTTATCTTTTCTTTTTTTTCTCCATTGTTTCATCAAATTTAAATTTTAATAATAGAATTAATTAAATGTTTACATTATGCTAATATTAAATATTGTTGATATTGTACAGAATAAAATTGTATAGAATAATAAATTAGTAAGAAATAAAATAAAAATGAGAAATGGAAAAAAAAACAATTTGGAAAAAGTACGAATTAAAAATATTAATGAAAATAAATTTAATTTGACAGCCCGTTAAACTATTCGACGAATTGAAAAAATTAATAATTATTAAAAGGAATCATTGGCTTATTTTATTTTAATTTTGTTATTTATGTCTAAAAGTTAAGACAAAAAAAATAAATACATTAATTAGATTAAACTTAATACAAAAATTTCAAATTGACAAATTGATCAGTTTAAAATAAAAAAAAAAAAACTTATAATTTTTCATTCAAAATTAAAATAATTTATTAATTATTAAAATATAAAAACTTTTCCCTCTTTTGTCAACAAAATTAACAAATTTTTTATTTCATTCTTTGATATAATGAATTTTTCCTTCAATTTTTGATACTTTTATATTTTATAATAAAATTTTCCTTCGTTTTCAATTTATTGAAATTTATTTTATTTTATCTTTTGTTTTTCTTCTTTCTTTCCTTCGTTTCTTTTTTTTTTTTTTTTTTTTTGTTTTGTTTTGTTTTCTGGTTTCAAATGTACTTTTGTTAGCTTAAAACATTTACAATAATATCTAAAGTATTAGCAATCGTTCTGTCATCCTTCTGATATGTTGCAAACATTTATCATTTGCATTTATCAAAATGCAAGTTTTATAAAATATTTAAATTTACTTAGAAAAAAAAAATTTCAATTTTTTTTGTCATTTTTCATTTGTTATTTTCAATGATATATTTAATTCTTTTCTTTGCATATCTTAAACTTAACTTTTATTTTGTTATTTTTCTAGATTTATATAACAAAAAAGAAAAAAAAAAACAATATGCTAAACTTTTTATATTGAAGTAGAAAGTATAAAGTAAACAAATCTTTCTCAAAAGATTTTATAATTTAAAAAGCATTTAAGAAAAATGTTTTTTTTTTCGATTGCTTTATACTTTTAGCAAAATTTTAGTGAAAAACAATCAATAAAAGTTAGCATTTATTGCTTTCTTTTTCTTTTTGTTGTGAATCATTTTGTTCTTTTAGCTTTTCAGAAAAAACTATTCAAAGAGAGGTATTCACTATTCACTGATTCATATTTTCAGACATTTAAAGTGTATTGACTAATAGAAGGTTTGTTAATATATAAGGTATGATGACATGCCCGGTTTATTTATCAATTTACATGTACCACGTAACGATAATGTCGAGTTCTGCATGTGTCACGTAACAGTGCTATCGTGTTTTGCATGTATCACTTAACAATGCTATCGAGTTTTGCATGTATCACTTAACAATGCTATCGAGTTTTGTATGTACCACGTAACAGTGCTATCGTGTTTTTTATGTATCACGTAACAGTGCTATCGTGTTTTGTATGTATCACGTAACAGTGCTATCGTGTTTTGTATGTATCACGTAACAGTGCTATCGTGTTTTGTATGTATCACGTAACAGTGCTATCGTGTTTTGTATGTATCACGTAACAGTGCTATCGTGTTTTGTATGTGTCACGTAACAGTGCTATCGTGTTTTGTATGTATCACGTAACAGTGCTATCGTGTTTTGTATGTATCACGTAACAGTGCTATCGTGTTTTGTATGTATCACGTAACAGTGCTATCGTGTTTTGTATGTATCACGTAACAGTGCTATCGTGTTTTGTATGTGTCACGTAACAGTGCTATCGTGTTTTGTATGTATCACGTAACAGTGCTATCGTGTTTTGTATATGCGACGTAACGATACTGTCGATTTTGCATGTATCACGTAATGAATGACACAGTCAACGTTTCAAAAATGAGCTGTGGTAAGGTAATGTTTTGGAAATTTCTTTTCACTTTTTTTTTTTTCAATTATATGGAAAATCCAAAGTTATAGGCAAAGTTTATTAATGATCTTTTTTTTTCATTCTATCAGTATTATTCTTTGTGATTTTTAAATTGGATTGCATATTGGATTAAGTTTCGATGTATTGTTCGATTTCTTTTTTTTTTAATTTCAAAGCAAACTTACTTATTCTGGTTATAAGTATGTTATACTAAGTAAAGAAGTAAATTTCCTAAAATGTAAAAAAAATTTTTAACATTGAACTTTAAAGAATTCAAGTGCTTCTTTTTCTTTCTTCTAAATGATTTAAAAATTTTGAAAAATGAATGCCAATTATTTGTCATATTTAACATTTTCACTGCAATAAACAATAAATTATTTATCTATTTAAATAATTTTATAAATTATTTCTGCTTCAAAATAAAGAGATTAAATTTTATGATAATTAGAATTAATATGCCTATTGCATGATTTCATTGTTTATATTATAGAATAAAATATGAATTATTAAATTAAGATTAACTTTTTTTCATTTTTTTTTTTCTGATATTATTTAATCTAGTTTTTGTTTTTGTTTATCTTTTGCTCTTCCTTTATCGTTGTCTTTTTATTTCAGATATTTCAGAAGGAATGCTTTGTGCTAAATTTTTAAATTTTAATTTCAATTTTTTCAATTATTTATATAAAATTATTGCTGTTTAACATTTATCAAAAAACAAAAAAAACAAAGATTACATATTTGCTTTTTTTTTTTTTTTAAAAAAAAGGTTTGAACGAAAAAGGTGAAATTTACATAGCAAAACAAACAAACACTACCATAAGTTTTATATTTAAAATGATAAAAATTTATGATTAAAAAAAAAATAAAATAAAACGATAAATAAATAATAAAATGCAACAGCAACATATCAAATAAACTTTGAAAGTAAATATCAATAATTTGAAATATGCTATGATTTCACGTTTTTTTTCCTTCATTTTATAATTTAATATAATAATACATGAAGAAAAACCAATTCAACAAAGAATTTAAATTTTTTAACTTTCTCAGATATTTCATTATTTAATATTTATTTTTTCTTTTATTTTTATTTTATAAAATTATTTCAAAAAAAAAAAAAAAAATAAATATTTGAAATAGAAATGATAATCTAAGCTCTTTTGCTTTATCATTTATTTATTTTTTTATTCATTCCCTCCTTCCTTCATCCCTTTCTAATCTATTCATTTCTTTTCATTTTTCTTCTTTACTTTTTAACTTTCTTATCAATCAATAAAGTAAGTATAAGTAAACCTTATTGTTTGCTAAATGCTAAAGCATACAATTAAAATATGCCATAAATTTTAATCATTATTAGTTTAACAGTGATACAGTGATAATAATATTTCGTATTGCATATCAATTTGAAATATTTCATAATTTGATAATTTAATTAATAATTAATAAATTAAAGATTTTCATTTCTTGCTAAATTGTCTGCTATTTCTTTTTTTTTCAAATTAATTTATCTAAATTATTACTTTTTGCATATAAAATATATCATTACTTATTATTTCATTAGCTTTTTTACTTACTTTATTGTAAAAAATTATTTAAAAAAAAATTATATTTAAAAAAAAATTTTTTAAAAAAATTATATTTATCATTTTTGACTTCTTTTTTGTCATATCAGATGGATATCTTATATATAATATTATTATCACTTTATCAATTATCTGTTTCATTTCCATTTTATCTTATCATTTGTTAAATTTCCATTCTCTCTCCTCTTCTCTTCATCAATTAAATTCATCAATGAATTTTCCTCTCCTGAACTATCCATTTGTTATCAACAGAAATAATACGATTCAAATATTTGAAATAATAATTTTTGAAATTTAATTTAATTTCAAAAAATTTCCTTTTCATTAATAGAACACTAAACTTAAGCAATTCTTTTTTAATTCAAATTTTTTCTTCCATTCCATCATCTATTTAATATTTTTTAAATTAAATTACATCTTTGCTTTTTTAAGTAAAAAAAAAAAGTTTAATAAAATTTAAAAAATTTTCTTTCTACTTTCTTCCTTTTTAATTATAAGCAAATATTTTTTTTTTTTGTTATTTTTCTTTAATTAATCTATTTTTTAAAAAAAAAAAACTGACTATGAATATATTTAAATATATTCAAATATGATAAGATTTCATATTTTAATTTTTAATTTTTTTTTAAAAAATGTAAAAAACTGGTTTTTTTTAATTTGGATGATTTAAAGATAATGTAATGATAATCAGAGTAATTTGCTGATAATTTGAATAATATATATATATTTTTTAATTTCCTATATAATTGATTTTTTTTTTTAGATTTGCAATTATTACATAAATGATACTTTTCTCTTTCTCCCTCTCTCTCCCTCTCTCTCTCTCTCTCTCTTTCTCATTTTTTCATTTTTCTTGTTTGGATAAAATTAAATTCACTCGTTATGATACGGCAAGCAGTTGTGAATCGATTTGTGAAAATTGTAAGTTTTTATTATTTTTTTTTTTTGCATCTTAATTTTGTTTTATTTTTATAAGAAAACAAAAAAATAAATAAACAAACAAACAAAAAATTTACTTAAATTTAAAAATTTGCGAAAAAAAAAAACTAAAAAAAACTATTATTTATAAATTTAATTTCTTTACAAAAATTTGAAAAAAAAGTTAATAATCGCTTTTTTTTTCTTAAATATCATTACTAATTATAATTTTTGAGAATTAATTTTTTATTTCCAAATAACTATAAAACTATAATTTAATTTTTTTTTTAGATTTCATATCATATTTATTAATTTAAATTACAATTACTGTAAATAATGAAGTAATTGTGATAATGATAATGATAATAACAATAATAATAATAATAATAATAATAATAATAATAATAATAATAATAATAATAATAATAATAATAATAATAATAATAATAATAATAATGCCATCTTCAATTCAAAGTATTTTTTTTTAAAAAAAAATAAAGAAAATATGCGTATTACTGTCAGTTTACTATGAAAATAATCAATTTATAATATCAGTCTTTTCGATTATTTAATTATTTTATTTCAAATTAGTTTTTTTTTTTTTATCGATAATCGATGAATTATTAAATGAGTAAGCAGATATTAATGTAATAATTACTAATTTAATTGATTTCAAATAAATTGATGACATCATTAGTTGACATTGATTTTTCATTCTTATTCATTGAACAAATAAAAAATTGAAGTGCTCCAAAGAGTAAAAAAGAATTTTCTTTTTTTTTTTTGTTTACAGAAAAACTTAAAATTTTTAAAAATTAAATAAGTACAAATAACAAATACAACGCAATAAGAGTAAAATGCAAAAAAAAAATAAAAGAAATAGAAATTAATAATTGAAATTTGAAATTTAAACTTAATTTTATAAGCATTGTATTATAAAAGTAATAGTTAATTTTTGTAAGAAAAAAAAAATTTGTTTTTTTTTTGTATTTTACAAATACCTAAATCAAATGAATATATCTTTTTTTTTCATATCGAAAAAATTTAACTATTGTACTTTAAATTTAAGTGAAAAAAAGAAATGATATAGGAGAAATATGAAAAAAATTCTATTATAAAATTAAGTTAAATTTATTTAAAAATAACTTTCCACCATAAAATTAAGTTAGATTTATTTAAAAATAAATTTAATTTAAAGTTTATCAAAAAATTTAATAATGTAAATTAAAAAATTTAAATTATAACTGTTATAACGGAATGTAAATATTAGCAATATCACGAATTTCATTATTTAAATACGTCTTGCAAACATCTTAGCTGTGACAATCATTTGACACTTTTTCAATTTGTTAATGACATTTTCATTTCAAAAAAAAAAAGAAAGGAAAAGGAAAAGAAAAGGAAAAGAAAAGAAAATAATGCAACTTTTTATTTATTCAAATAAAATTTTGTGACCGTGACATATTTTTATTGTGTATTTTACATTCAAAATTACTTTTATTAACAGTTTAAAAAAAAAAAAAAAAAAAACTTTTCTAATTTTATTTCTATTTGTCTAATTTTGATTAATTTCTCTTATTTACATTTATTTGAATAATTTTTGTTTTTGTTTTGAATCATTTAAATTTTAGTTTTATTTCAATTTTTGATTAAATATGATGCAATCAAAAAGAAAGAAAAAATTATTTTTCCAAAAAATTATTTTAATTAAATTTCTTTAAATCATTTAAATTTTAGTTTTATTTCAATTTTTGATTAAATATGATGGAATCAAAAAGAAAGAAAAAATTATTTTTTCAAAAAATTATTTTAATTAAATTTCTTTAAATCATTTAAATTTTAGTTTTATTTCAATTTTTGGTTAAATATGATGCAATCGAAGAGAAAGAAAAAATTATTTTTTCAAAAAATTATTTTAATTAAATTTCTTTAAATCATTTAAATTTTAGTTTTATTTCAATTTTTGATTAAATATGATGGAATCAAAAAGAAAGAAAAAATTATTTTAATTAAACTTTTCTAATTTTTCTTTTATATTTTCATCACTTTTTTTTGCATGTTCATAATTTTTTCACTTTGCATATTAATTTAGCTTAGGATTAAAATTATGCATATTTAAAAAAAATTGTTTATAAATTCATTGATAATTTTGATTATATGATTAAATCTGTGATTGTAATGCTAAATTGATGTATTGTAAAAATTTTTTCATTAATTTAATTAGCTCTGTTAATTTATTTCATTTTTTTAAAAATCATTTTTAATTTTATAGTTCAAAGGTTAATAGTATTTAATTAGTTATTTATCTTTGTTAATTAAATATTACATTTGTCTTGATTACTTTTTTTTTTTCAACATTTACTTATTATCATTAAGCCATTTTTAACTTAATATATGTGAAAAATATTAAGTAATAATATGTAAGTAATTATTAAAATTTATTTTCTTTCACTTCTTAATAACTATTTTACAAAATAGTTATTAAGAAATGATAATTTATTAAAAAGTGATAATAAAATTTAGTTTAAAATTGATCAAATTTCTATGCGCCCAGGAAAAAAAACTTGTTTATTGTTATTAAATTTAGAAAATGATTACGATTTTCATTTTATCTTGATGAATTGAATTATTCCATGAAATTTATCACTTTTTTATCAAATGCATTATCATATCCAATCTGTATTGCGGTATAATTTACAGTAAAATATTTTAGAAATACTAGTAAAATAGGTGAAAATTACAGGTGAGAAAGCAATATAAAGGTATGGCAGTATTAAAACCAACAATTACAATGGGTGAAAGTTTAATTCTTGATAAATCATTTGATGATCAATTTGAAATGAATGAAATTGAAGCAATGGAAATAAGGTCATCGAAACTTTCTCATTTTTTTTTTTTTTTTTGTCATTTATTATAAATTCGTTACTTTTTATCTAGCAATTATTTCACAGTCAGAAATGTGACAAGGGAAAGGCATATCACGTATGATATCACGTATGCTACTTACGTATGAAAAGTGACAGGTAAAGCTTATCACGTATGATATTGAGACTAGTAGTATATGAAAGTGACAGGTAAAGCTTATCACGTATGATATTAAGACTAGTAGTATATGAAAGTGACAGGTAAAGCTTATCACGTATGATATTAAGACTAGTAGTATATGAAAGTGACAGGTAAAGCTTATCACGTATGATATTAAGACTAGTAGTATATGAAAGTGACAGGTAAAGCTTATCACGTATGATATTAAGACTAGTAGTATATGAAAGTGACAGGTAAAGCTTATCACGTATGATATTAAGACTAGTAGTATATGAAAGTGACAGGTAAAGCTTATCACGTAGAATTTTCATAAAAAATACTTTTTAAATTTCAGTAAAAAAAATTTTTCTTTTAACTGATATAAATTTTAGAATTCGAAGAATGATGAATGATAAGGAAACGATAGCAGAATTGTTACCATCATTGAATGAATATATGAGAATGAAAAGTAAATTGGGACTGTGTTTACAACTTCTCTTAGATTCTGCAAATATTGTCACCGATGTCAAATCATGCATTCTCGATGGAAAATTACTTAAAGCATATAAAAAGTAACTTTCATTAAATTTATGTAAAATAATTTGTTTATTAAAAAAAAAAAAAGAGAAGAAATAAAACATTGTTGTTTCTTTTGTTTATTTGTTTTTTTTTCTCAAATATTTTTATTTTAAAATTTATTGAATATCTAATTTATCTAATTTTAATAATATGTAATTTTTAATTTTGACAATATCTAAATTTGATATAATTTAAACTTTAAAAATGTTTTATCTTTACATTTTTTTTATCGCAATAATAATTTTAAATTTTGTAGCATACAAAATTATTGATTTGATATTTGAAAAATAAAATTCATATTTTCTCTCTTAAAGAAAATATTGAAAATATTTTGATTTAAAATTTTTAGTTGAAAGTTGTAAAATTTGCTAACATTTCATGGAAATTAGATAAGATTTAAGATTTTTTTTAAATATAATTAAAGTTATGTTTAATTTGATAATTTAATTATTATAATTTTCAATCAATTTCAAATTGTCACTTTTATTTTATTTATTTTAATTAATTCATTTTATTTTAAAAAAAATGATCAAATTATTTTAATTCCAATTTTAGTTTTATCAAATATGAAAAGTGTCGTAATGATTTACTGGAACTTACTGATAATAAAAGTGATGAGCAAGCAGTAAGTTTCATTTTTATTTTTTTTTGAAAAATGAATTTTCATTCTTTTTTTTTTCTTTTTGAATTTATTTGAATCATATTTTTCGTAAACATTTAATTTATCACATTTTTTATTTTTTATTTTTAATTTTTATTAAATTTTGAATTTATCGTATTTTTGATTATTTATTTTCGTAAACATTTAGTAGTATAATTTAAATATTTCAAAAATAATTGGTGCAAAAATTTTAATTATTTTGATATATTATAAATATTAAACATTTTTTTTTTTTTTTTGTAAAAAATAATTATGCCTTAAATATTATAAATTATTAATTATTATTATTTTTTTTTCATATTACACAAAATTAATAAAATATGATTGTATCACTTTGTAACAAAATGTTTTTAACTTACCAAATTAATTTCTTTGAAAATTTTTTAAAATATTTAATAAAATTAAAAAGTATTTACCAAAAAAAAAAAAAAATTTATAAAGAAAAAATAATAATAATTGCAGTTTATCATTGAACATTTTAATGATGTTGAATTAATGGCTATACAAATTCGTGATGTAATTCATTTAACACTTATTGGTATCACTAGTAACAGTACTGATAATAATGATAATGATAGTGATAAGAATTGTAACAATGATAATATATTGCAACAAATTGGAAAAATCATCGAATATGATGCAAAGTAAGCTTATCATTATTGATTCATTCATAGGATTTTATCATTTGAAAGTTGAAATTAAAGTTTTATTTTCTGTTTTCTTTAAACTTAAAAATTTTTTTTTTAAAATTTATATTTAGTTGAAAAAAGTCAACAATTTAAAATTTTTTTGAATAAATTGAAATTTTTGTACTCGAAAAATTGAATAAATTGAAATTTTTGTACTTGAAAAATTGAATAAATTAAAATTTTCGTACTTGAAAAATTGAATAAATTGAAATTTTTGTACTTGAAAAATTGAATAAATTGAAATTTTTGTACTTGAAAAATTGAATAAATTGAAATTTTTGTACTTGAAAAATTGAATAAATTGAAATTTTTGTACTTGAAAAATTGGAAAGAAAAAAGTTATATTTCAAAAATATTAAAAAGAAAAAAAAAGAAAAAAGTATTTTATAATATTTTACAAAGCAAACAAATGAAAAAAGCAAATAAATATTCTAACAATGCTTTGAAATTTTAAAAGAAAATTTAATTTCAAATAAATTATATACTTTTTTTTGTGAAAAAAAAATGAAAATACTTAGTAATTTGAATATTTGATTAAAAATTCACTAATAAATGGGTAAAAAAAAATTAAATGTTTGTAATTAAATAAATGATTGTATCAAATTTCGATTAATAATTTAATAAAATTTAATTAATCAAAAAAAAAAAAAAAATACTATAAAATTTGAAAATTTTTTAGCAAAAATTAATTATCTTTTTAGCCATTTTTTTTTCAGATAATTATTTGATGCTAACATTAAAGTATTAAAATTTAATAATTTTAAATGAAAGTTTTTTTTTTGTTTGTTTCAATAAAATTGCAAAATTTTTGTGAATAAATTTTTAAAGCAAATAATTTTCCAATAATTTTTTTTTTTTTTACAAAAATAATATTAAATTTTTTTTTTTTTTTTTTTTTGGAATTCAATATAAAATTAAAAAAAAAAATTTTTTTTTTTCAACGATACAAAATTAAAAATAAAAAAAATCAGTATCTATCTATATATATGTTTGTTTAGTTAATTGCAGATTAGATGCTGATAATGAAGTACGCAAGGGCAAAGGTCAAATAAGTTTTTTGAATCGTCCACGAAATTGGAAAAGTTTTTGTACGAATATATTTGCTAATTCGGTGATAATATCATCTTAATTATTCAAAAATATGAATCATTAATTAATTTATCACCAATTAATCAAACAAAAAAAAAAAATCAAAGAAAAAATTATTGTTTTAATAAAAATATTTTTTGAAATTTTAAACTTTCATTTCAATATTTAATTTTAATTATAATTAATTAATTTTACAGGCACAAATTGGTGACATGCAAGAATCATTTGCTAAACAACTTTTAGACAATTTAATAAATACTGATAATGATAGTAGTGATATTGATAAAAGTAATATAAAAAATTTTAGGTAATTATTTCTTTTTTTCTTTTTTCAAATAATTGATTTAGAAAATAATATAAAAAGTTAATATAATAGTATTAGATTTTTTTTCTATTATTTATTTACTTTTTAAATTTATTTTCTGAGAAATTTAACTTTTTAACAAAATTTTTTATTTGCAAAAAGAAAAAGTAAAAGTTGATCTATTGATTGATACAATAAATATTGTTAGAATATTGTTATTGAAATGTATGATTTATCATAAATTTAAATGAATTTTTAAAAATGAAGAAAGAAAAAAAAGAGGTATTAAAATTGAAATTTAATATTTTATCTTTTTTTTTAAATGAAAATTTTAGTAATTTAGAATTGCTAAATGTTAAATGAAATTTCATATTTCGTTTTTTTTTAAATTAAAAATTAGTAATTTTGAATTGTTAAATGTTAAATAAAACTTAATAATTAATTTTTTTTTAAATTAAAAATTAGTAATATAGAATTGTTAAATATTAAATGAAATTTAATAATTGATTCTTTCAAAATGAAAATTTAATAATTTAGAATTTTTAAATGTTCATATTTTGTTTTTTTTTTTTTTAAATTAAAAATTAGTAATTTTGAATTGTTAAATGTTAAATAAAGTTTAATAATTAATTTTTTTTTTGAATTAAAAAATTAGTAATATAGAATTGTTAAATATTAAATGAAATTTAATAATTTAGAATTTTTAAATGTTAAATGAAATTTCATATTTTGTTTTTTTTTTTAAACTAAAAATTAGTAATTTTAAATTGTTAAATATTAAATGAAATTTAATAATTGATTCTTTTAAAATGAAAATTTAATAATTTAGAATTTTTAAATGTTAAATAAAATTTAATAATTAATTTTTCTTTTTTTTTTCTTTTAGAATTGAATGTGATACAGCTTATTATGAAGAATTATTAGCTATGAGAAAATATTTTCAACAGACATTATTACATGAAACTAATTTTCAACAAATTTTTGTCAAATTTTTAAATATTGATGATATCATCGTGAAAACGACAAATTATCTTAGCAATAGCAATCTTTGTGCTACAATTCAAAAGTTTGTTTGTTTGTTGAAATTGATTAAAAATGATAATTTATTATTAAAATTTATGTTTATTATTATTTTTTTTATATTTGTTATTATTTTATTTTATATTTGTTATTTTATTTTATATTTATATTATATATTTTTGTAAAATAATATGATAAATAATAATTTGTTATTAAAATTTAAAAATTTTAAATTCATAGTTTTAAATTAAATTTATGAAATTATGAAATTTATGAAAAAATATAAATATATATATATATATGAAAAATTAAATATATATATATATATATGAAAAAAATTATGAAAAAAATTTATGAAAAAAAAAATATATTTTATAAACATAAATTAAAATTTATATATTTTTTATATTTATTATTTTATTGTACTGTAAAATAATAAATGTATAGGACAATTTTTTGGAAAAAAATTTAAGTATAAAATTAGGATGGATAACAAAAAAAAAAAAAAATAAATAAATAAATAAATAAATGCATAAAAAATGTTTTTATATAAAATTGGTAACAATTTTTTCTTTAATTAATTAATATATTTTTATTCATTATAATAGCTCATATTTTTTTATAAATATAATCTAAAATAATCATACCTTATTCACGTATAATTAGTCTTTCATTCACGTATATTACGTGTTTTATTTTATTTTTCTCTCATATTTTTACGTAATACAACGCATTACAACAATTTCTACTACAATTTGTAAAATATTTTCAATTTATTTAATAATTTACAAGAAAAGAAAAGTTTAAATAATTATTTAATTAATTATTTAATTGATTAATTGATTAAAAATATATTTTAGATTGCTAAAAGCAGAAAGTATACGATATCATTTGCTTGTATTTGCTAAATCTCACAATGAATTTGATTGTATCAATAAGGTTAATTAATTAATAATTTGAATAAAACAAACTTTAAAAAAATCAAAACAAAATTCTCATCCATTATTTCATATTTATCAAAAATTTTCATATTAAAATGCTAATTATATATTAACTAATAATAAGCAAATTTTGCATTTATTACATAAATATTCAAAATATTACTTAAAAACATTTAATTGTTGTGATGATAATATCAAAAAACAAAAATAGAAAATTTAATCAAATAATTAATAATATCTTTCTTTCTCTTTCCCTCTCTCTCTCTCTCCCTCTCAGTTTCTTCTTTATTTGATTATATTAAATTAAATTTAATGAATGTAAAAATTTTTAATAAATAAAATATATTTTTTTTTTGCAGCTATTAGTACCATATTATGAATCAATTGAACAAATTTATGATAAATTTATAAATGAATCAAAATATTATTGCATACGTGGCATTGATATTATACGTGGTAAAAATTCTGAACCTAAAAAGCAACTTGAAATAATTCTTCGAGTAATTGAAATTGATGAAAAGTAAGCCAATTTAAATTTAATTAAACTTTAAAAAAAAAAAAAACCCTTTTTTGTTTATTTTCGTATTTTTTATAATAGAAAAAAATTTTTCAACCAATTGAAATTGATGGAAAGTAAGCTGAATTTAAAATTAATTAAATTTTCTTTCATTAATTAATTTATAATTTAATTTATGATTCATTATAGAATTGATCAATTATATGAGAATAATAAATTCAAAATTGCAAATCGTCCACATTGTTGGCGTAAAATGCTTTTTGAAATTGTTGAAGAACGTGTGCAACAACGTGTAGAAGCATTTCAAATTGAAGATCGAAAATTAAATCAAAATTGGGTGACAAGGTATGATTGATAATTTATTATTGCAATGATCATTTACTTAAAAACTTTTTTTGTTGGTTTAATTTTTTTTTAAAAAAATTTTCTTTTTTTTTTTTAATTTTGTTAAAGATTTTCTATGCTATTTTATTTTTCAGTTTTTTTTTATGATTATTTCTTTTAAATTTCTTAAAAATTTTTTTTACGCTTTTTTCAAAATTAGTTAAACTCTAATTAAACTGAAATTGCAAATCAAACTAAAAAAAAAAATTGAAATAAATGCATGAAATGAAAATTTTTAAAATTAAATAGAAATTAAAAACATATTTAAATACACGGATACTCCAATTGATTTTATCTTCTAATTATAACAATTCTGACATATTATTTTAATAATTTATTAATTTCAAATTAAAAAAAAAACAATTTTTTTTTTCATTTTATTTTTCAATAAAAAAAAAAAAATTGTTTACAGTTAATTTGCTTTTTTCACTTAAAAGAATTTTTTACAAAAAATTCAAAAAAGGAAAATTTTACAAAAAAATTTTTAGAAAATATGAGTTTATCTAGATATTTGCTTTAAGTATATACTTTCTAAGTAAGTATGTACTTTCTTTTTTTCTCCTAAAAAAAAAATTTTTTTTTTTAAAAAAAAATTTTTATAGAAATTTGGAAATATGTCGTTTGTATATTGTGGAAGATTTATACGCAGCAAAACATTTTTTACGAATTTTTCCAAAAGAACATCAACTTTATAATAATTTCATTTTATCATATCATAATGGAATTGCTAAGAAGGTAAAGCTATTTATAAATTCTATTTTATTATTATTTCAAAAATTTTTTCTTTTTTTTTTATTTCAAAAATTTGCATAAAATTTTAGCGTAATTTGATATTTGCCACTATTTACATTAATTTCTCATATGTTTTTGATTTTTTTAAACTAATACTCACGTACGTACGTGTTTAATTCGATATTTTCCACTACTTTCATTAATTTCTGATATGTTTTTGATTTTTTTTCTAATCTAACACTCACGTACGTGCGTGTGACTGTAGTATGCGTGCGTGTGTGTGTGTTGATGTTATTCTTTATGAAATTAATAAAAAATTTTAATTTCTTTGACTTTAATTCTTTTAATTACAATAACTGTTTATTGCTTTTGATTAAAATTGGAGTAAAAACAATTATAAATTATAAATTTTTAATTTTTTATTACAAATTGCAAAACTTTAATTACAAAATTCAATTTATTTCTTTTGATTAAAATTGAAGTAAAAAAAAAAATTAATTTTTGCATAATATTTGATTAATTGATTGAATGATTGATTAACAAAAAAAAAAAAATATTTATTTTTTCAAACATTTAACACTTTTTTTTTTTCACAATCATTGAATATTAATTATTTGGAAGAAATTTTAATTTTATTTTAATCCAAATGCAAAAAAGAAAGATTCTGTTTTTTTTTAAAGTTAATAATTAATTAATTAATTTATAGATTTCTGAATTAGCAAAAGGTGAATTAAACAAACGTGAATTGATACAACTTTTAAGTTGGATTAGACAGTATCCGTAAGTTTTACTTACGTTTAATTTATTGCTTAAATTAGTGAAATTTTATTTTATTATTTGTTTTTAGATTTGAATCTTTTTCCTTTTTTTTTTTTCTTAAATCAACAATAACTATTTTCATTCTTTTTTTTTCCAAAAACAAAAGAATTTATATTATTATTGTAAAAAAACATTTTTTTTTTCGTAACAGTTCGTTTTCTCTTTCTTTTTTTTTTTTTTTTTTAAAAAATGATATCATGAAATAATTAAATATTTTTTCTTGAGTAATGTGATTATTTTTATAAATTAATAAAATTAAGCATTCAAATCCTTTTTAATCAACAATATCGATAATAATAATAATAAATAGTAATAATAATAATAATAATAATAATAATAATAATAATAGCAATAATAATGATAATAACAATAAAATTTTATAGCATATAATATAAATTTAAACATTTTAATATTTGAAAATTTTTTTTTTGGAAATTAAAAGTAATATTTAATTTAATTAAATTAGTTGCGATAAAAATTATAGGAAATTGTTGCAGCGGAGAACATATGCTTGGTATGGCATTTCTTGAAATTGATGCAATTTCACTTATTCGAGATAAACCATTAATTGAACCAAATGAATTAATGCATCTTTTTGAAATGTATGTTTGCCTTTTTTTATTTTTATTTTTATTTTTTTTTTTAAAAAATTTTAAAGAATGTTTTTTTGAAAAAAAAAGAGAAAAACTTATGTTTATTTACATATATCATAAACAATAAGCTTGTACATATCTTATATATAAAATTTAAAAAATCAGCTTGTGTATTTTTTTATTTAAAAATTAGTTTATAAATATATGTCTTTAAAAAAATTTAAGTTATATGTATGTATATATGTTTTTAGAATTAGCCTGTACCTATATGTGACCATTCAAAAGAAAGAATTTTTCTTAATTTTAATTTTTAAAATTTTAAAAAGTTGGTTTATATATATTTGAAATTTTAGCTTATATATATTTTTTTGTTAAAAAATTAGCTTATATGTATTTGCTTATTTGTTTTAAAAAAATTCTAAAAAGTTTGTTTATGTATATTTTTTCTTGTCTAAAAATTTGCTTTAATATATATTACAAATTTAGTTTAGAGATTTTAAAAATTTAATTTATACATATTTTTAAATTTAGGTTATTCTTAAAATTTTTTTTTTTTTGTTCAAATACATATGTATGTTTATTTTTAGATTTATTGAAATAATTAAATCAGAAACATCAAAATGGGCATTAAAAACTGTTAAACAAGAGGTAATTATAACATAATTATAAAATTTCTTTTTTATCGCTTTTTTTTTTTAAAAAAAACTTTTTTTACTTTTGAATGAATTCATATTATTAGTATATAAATAATTTATAGATAATTTAATTAAATAAAAAAAAAATTGATAGAATGTATTATTTTTATCAATTTAATTCATTTATTTTATACTAATTTATGCAAAAATTGCAAATGATTAATGAAAATTATAATTAGATGAATAAATTATTGAAGGAAAATTTTTAACTAAACTCTTGTTTAATTAATTTTTAATTTATAACATTATTTATTATTAATTTATTATTAAGAAAATTTTTCCTCAAAGAATTATTAGTTTAAGAGTTATTAATTCTTTTTTTTTTTCACGAAATTAAGATGTGGTATGTAATTGATAAATGATTAGTTTTTTTTATCACTGATAAATCTTATCATATTGATAAATTGTAGTTATAAAATGATTTTTGATTGTTTTTCTTTTGTTTAATGATTAAATGAAAATTAGTTATTGCTTGAGAAATTAAAATATTGCTACAGAAGAAGTATAATAAATAGGAATGGAAAATAAAAAATTCAATTTTATTGTTTGTTTTATTTGTTTGTTTGTTTTTTTGTTTTATTTATTTGTTTATTTGTTTGTCTCTTTCAGTTTGCTAATATTGACGAATTACGAAGTAATATAATGGAAGATGAATATGGATATTATTATACTCATTTATCACATATACTTTATTCAATTGTTAATGATCAGGTATTACATTATCAATCATTATCACCTTATCATTATCACTTTTTGATAATTGAAAAAATATGATAAGTGTTTGTTAATTAATAAAATAACTAAGAAAAAGAAGAAAGTAAAATAACAAAGATTTGATAATTAGAAAAATTGATAAAATAATTGATAATTAGCAGAAATAAAATAAGTAATCGATAATTGAGAAATTATAATAAATAAGAAAAGTATAATTTAAAAAAATTAAGAAATTACAATTAGACTAGTTGATTAAAAATTATAAATTATTCAAAAAAAAAAATTAAAAAATAATTAAGAAAAGATAAATTATTTGATAATTAAAAAGATATAACAGCTGTTTGATAATACTTAAAGATATGATAAATAAAATTATGATATTAATAATAATAATAATAATATTAATATTAGTAATAGTAATAATCAAGAAATCATAATAGATATTCGATAATTAGGAAAATATAATAAATGCTTGACAATTGAGAAATTATAATAAAAAATATTTGATGAAATAATTTATCCATTATAATTTTATAAAAATGAAATGATAATATTATATTAAAAAAGAGCAAATAATGCAATCAAATAAATATACTATTAGTAAAATATTAATTTCATTTAAACAATTATTTAATATAATTATTTGATAATTAAGTAAATAATATAAAAAATAAAATAAAAAGAAATTATAGATATGCTAAAAATAATTTTTGTTGTATTATTTAAGATGACTTTGGCTTGTGAAATTTCGGATGAAATTGTGCCACGTATTTTAAATGAATGTCTTAATGAATATATCAGATTAATTTGTCCTCATTTAGAAGGTAAACATTTTGCTTTTGTTTATTTGTTTGTTTGTTTGTTTTGTTTTGAATTTTAGAAATAATTAATTGAATAGAAGGAATGAAAGAGAATTTAGTCATTAATTTGTATAGTTAAATACATTATACGTGATCATTTGACGTACAACGTACGTGATCATTTCAGTTAACAAATAAACATAAAAGCTAAAAATGATAAAAGAATTAAATTATATTTATATATTGATGTATCTAAAATATAAATTGACTTATAAATTTAAATTATTATATTGAAGAAGAAAGCAAAAAAAAGCAAAAAAAAAGTAATACTATTTTATAATTTATTTTGTAACACTTAAAATTATTTATTAACATTAATTTATGAATAAATTATAAAAACAATTAAAATAAAAAACTAGCAAATAGTTTTATTAAAAATTGTTTAATTTATAATACAATAATAGTAATAATATTAATTTTATTTTTCTTTCTATTCTTGCTGTATTTTTCTCAAAATAATTTCACATTTTGCAGATTCTATTAACGAACTAAAAAATAAAGGAACGTATCAGAAGGAACAAAATGATGAATATATTAAAATTATGGTATTAAAATATTATTTCTAAATATTAAATTTTATTTTGAAATAAATTTAATTTATTAAAATGTATAAATTATAATATTTATTAATGTTTAACAGATAACAATTGCAAATAATTTGGATATGTTTGCTGATTCAATAGATAAATTGAAAAAATATATCGAAGGAATGCGAAATGAATCATTGAAATGGAATGAAATTCAAAAACAAAAACGAATTTCAATCATTTCACAGTCAGCAAATGAAACATTCATTTGTAAACAAAAACAAAAATGTTTCAATCGCAAAATGCAAGGTATTATTTATTATTATTATTATTGTTATTTATTATTATTATCATTATTATTATTATTATTATTGTTATTTATTATTATTATCATTATTATTATTATTATTATTGTTATTTATTATTACTGTTATAATTTATTGTTATTGTTAATTATTATTATTATTACGATTTATCATTGTTGTTAATTATTATTATTACGATTCATTATTATTATTATTGTTATTTATTTTTATTATTATCATTATTACATCTTATTATTATTATTGTCATTATTATGATTATTATTATCACTATTACATGTTATTATTATTATTACTATTGTTATTTATTATTATTTATTATTATTGCTAATTATTATTATTATTATTATTAATTATTATTATTTACAAGAAAGAAGAAGAGATGAAAGAAGCAAACTTACTTGCATTATTCTTCGGTTATTCATTATTTACTTTTATATATGTTCTTTACTTACCACTCATTTATTTATTTATTCAATTTTATCAATTTCAAATTATAATTCAAAATTCTTTGCTACAAATTTATTATTTGCTTATATCACTCAAATTATCACTGCAATTAAATAATATTATATGAATTAAAATGAATTATGAACAATATTTAAACTTGAAAAATTATTCAATTAAATTTTTTATTTCTTTTTTAAATGAAAAAAAAAAGAATTTGTATAATTATAAATTATTAATAAAATTTATATAAAATAAAAAAGAAATTTAAACAATTGTGCTAATATCATTTATAAATTTTTTTTATTTTTCTAATTTTAGGTGCAATTCATGGTGCAATGAATGCACTTCGAGATATACCAGCAACATTAGCTAATATAACACCTTCATCATCAGAAAATGCATTAAATGAGCAAAATGATAATTTTGATAAGCAATTAAATGAAATTGATAATGAAAGTGAGATTGAATTAGAGGATGAGGAACCATTGGAAGCTGCATGGGAACGTATTGAAATTTTGAAAAAACATTTTAATGAAATGCTTCGAACAGTGTAAATGTTTCACTTTTTTTTTTTTTGTTTTTTATAATTCTTTTATTTTTTTTTATTTTTATTTTTTCATTTATAATTTTTTTTAAAAAAAAAAAGGGAGAAAAAATAAAATTTGCAGAAATTTCCTTTTCTTTTTTAATATTTTTAATTATGCAAAAGTTTTTAAACAAATACAATAGACAATGAGTTCATGTGTCTATTGCCATTTTATAAATAATACTTTTATTAATATTATTTATTAATTATTATTATTATTATTAAACTGTTAAAAACAATTTACTTTATTCATGTTTTTCTCCTCCTACACATTTTATAGAATTTAATTTAAATTATATATACATAAATGCAACTTTTTTTTTTTTTTTTATTTATGAAAATTTTCTTCACTCAAAATTTAATATTATTTGTTCTATTTCTTTTTTTTGATTCAAATTTTTAGGATGAATATGCTTTGCGATGAAATTTGCAGCGATCTTTATAATTGCTTCGAACAACTATTAAGCAAACAATGGTACTAATTTTTAGAAATAAAAACATTTTAATTAATTAATTAATTATTATTATTGTATTTAATGAATTTTTAATATTATTATAATTTGTTAATTTTCATTTGTAAATGAAAAAAGGAAAGAGAAAAAAAAATTTAGTTTAAATTTCTAAAAATTTAGGATGAAAAATTCAAATATTATTGGAACAATTTGTGAAACAATAAAAGATTATGAAAATGATTACATGCATCTTCGACGAGATATTCATATTGAAATACTTCAATTTATTGAATTTAAAATTGTTGCAGAATATTTAAATGCTATTGCAAGCAGGTAAGTTAGAAAGAATATTTATTAAAAAATTTTTGAATTCATAATTCATAATTAATCTAATTTATTTTATTAAATTTTTTTTAAAAAAAAAAAAAGAAAAAGAAAAAGAAAAGAATTAATTGCTATTAATTTGTTAAATTTTTCAGAAAATTAACTTGCACAGAATATCAAAAACGTTGTGCAATTGCAAAATGTCTTCAAAATGATATTGAAATAATCAATGTAACATTTAATGCATTATTTACACAATTTAATTGTATTAATAAGGTAAATTTTTTTTCATTTAAATTATTTTTCAAATTATTAATACAAATTAATTTATATATCATTTTTATCATTTTATTTATCACTAAGTAATATATACTGTTATCAATATTTTTTCTTTTTCGTCTTCTGTTTTTTCATTTTTTTACAAAAAAAGTATTTATTTATTTATTTATTAAATGATAAAAATCATTTAATATATTTAATTTACTTGGATATTTTTTTTTTTAAAAATATATGTCAAGTTAATTTATTTGAAACTTTTTTGAATTTATTTTATTGTATTTATTTGATATTGTATTGCTATAATTTATTATAATATATTATGATATTATCATTTGCATTAAAAATTAACAATAAAATAGAATTTTTTGATAAACATAAATAAATATATGATAATGAATAAATTGAGAGAATTAATTTCTCTTTTTTTTCTTATATTTCACTTTTTTTTTTTTTGAAAGAATTTATTTTCATCGTTTCTTTCTTTCCGTTTCAATAAAAATAATTTTTTTATTAAACAGAGACAGAAAAAAATAAATAAAAAAAACAAAAAATGAAAGAAAGAGAGAGAGAGAGAGAGAGAGAGGGAGAGAGGGAAAAAAACAATTCTTTATATTATTATAATTATAGACGAGAAATTTAACAAATGTATTATATTCAATTGCTGAATTTATCACACTTCGTGATAAAGATATGCTTTTATTGGAAATAGCATCGTTATTACGTAAATATCCGGAAATGACGGAAGAATTTCTTTTCACGCTTACTGATATTCGTGATGACGTAACAAGCAGTGAATCACGGTTTATTTTCTTTTCGATATATTATTAGAGTTATATTTATTAATCATTTATGAGTAGTAATGAGTAGTTCTTTTATTTGTCAAAAAAAAGATTAAAAAAATTTTTTTTTTTGCAGAATTATTAATGAATTAATAAACTTTATATTATTTTGCTTTTATTAAATATAAACCCACTAATTGGTTAATTAAACGGAAAAGTTCTTTGATGTGTTACTGCTTATATGCTTTCTAAGTGATTTTAAAATAAGATTTAAGCAATTAGTTGAAACTGATGTTATAATGTTATTTATTGAGAAGTATTATGTTTTTATACATACATGTAATATGATAAATTTTTAAATGTTAGAAATTTTCAGAAATTTTTACAAGAATTCATGAGAAGCAATTTTTTAATATTTAATCAATTATTTTTATGATAAAATTATTAGTATTTCTTTTTCAAATTACATAAATAAATATATATATATATATATTGTTGCTATATTTCCCTAATCATTTGTTATCATTTGTAACTTAAATAATTTTAAAAGTAAACATTAGTAATAAATTATATCAACCAATCAATCAATCAATCAATCAATTAATCAAAGCGCTATTTTAGAGCATTAACAGAAGATTGTATGAAAATGATTGGTAAGAAAGAAAATGATCCAATATTGATACGACTATTTCAAATGGCAAAAGGTGAACGAAAAACAGCGCAAATGATCAAAGATGTTGTTCCAAGAATACGACGACGAGTTAAATTAACTATTGCTAATCAATAATAATACAATTTATAAAAGTTTACTTAAAAAAGATGTGAGAGAAAAAAAAAAGAGAGAGAGAAGAGAAGAAAAAGAAGAAAACAAAATAATTTTCCTCAATTTTATTTTATTATATATTTATGTTATCTTTTTCTTCTCTTTAATAATTTGTAATTCTATTAATATTATTTTTTAATTCTGATATATTTATTTTATGTAAATATCAATGATACTATGCAAATTTTGTTTGCTATATGATATACGATTAGTGTTAATCAATACATATCATGCAATTATCATTAAACTAGCAAAACAATAATGAAATCATCATTAAATTAGCTACACAATTAAGCAAATGTTATAAAGCGAGAAAGATAGAAATTCCATTAAAATATCATAGATTCTCAAGAATTAATTATTCAATGATGCTAATTAGTAGTTAACTATTTGTAGAACTGTTTTTTTTTCTTTCAATTTTTAAACTATTGAAATTCGTTGACATTTTGAACAAATTTCTCTCATTAAAATGTCATTGGATCAGTCATACGAGACTATTTCATTCCTCCAGAAAACTTTTTCATTTATCCTTCTGATCCTATTTATATATGTATATACATCTTCACTGCCATTATAACAATTTAAGCAACTGAAACAAGCTTAATTTAAATCAGAGCAAACTGATAAAAACTACTGAAGTTGTCAACAAATTGCATATCATAGCATTGCATTTTAATTTAAAAGTTTTATCATATTGCTTGAGCGAATATCAAACCACCAGACAATTAATTAATTAATTAATTCTTCATTCTAGAATAAATATGGCTAAAAAGATCATTGCGTAGAACGAGAGAAAACACTGAGGTAACTTTTAAGAATAAATATAATTCTGTATTAATGCTAAATATAATTTCATCCTAGTAGTGTCTTGCACATAAAATCAAGTACTCAAAAAATTCAAAATGCATATGTTAATCCAAAGAAATTGAAATGTGCATGCTTAAAGAAAAATTGATATAGGTTAAACTAAAATCAATAAAAATTTCGAAATTTTCTACAAAATTTGTAGCAAATTTAGCAAAACAGATAATATACCATCGCTATTACATTTATCAAAAATTTCACTATGGCAAATAAAAATTAATTTTCCTACGATCTTATTTTTTCAATGATCTCTTTGCCATTTTAACCACATCAGCTGGTTGTGGTTGTGCTGCAATTTCAAGCGATTCACTAAACGGCATTGGAACATCAGTACCAGTAACTCGATATACGGGACCATCCAAAGCATCATATGCTTCTGATTCATTTAACTAAATTTGAAATTTATTTGTAAACAAAACAATTAACAGTCAAATTTTCAGAGTGGAATTTTTCTTTTCTTTTGCACTCAAAATGAAATCTTTTTTTTTTTGCAAATATATGTATAAAATGTAAAATGCGCAAACCTGCATGCAAATTTCTGATCCCACACAGCAAAAAGGCCATCCATTATCAATGGTTACTACGTGATGAGTTTTCATAACTGATTTCTTGATCGTTTCAAAATCAAATGGACGAATAGATCGCAGATTGATCACCAGAAAAATAGAACATTAAAAATTAAATTTCACTTTATCGTTTAGCAAAATTTCATCCTATTCCTTTTTACTACATCTTTCTTTCTCCATTCACATTCTTCAGTTGCAAACAAACAATCTTCAAGTTGGTCACAATTTCAATATCATTTGAACTAAGCAGACTTCAATTTATCAAATCAAAATTTGAAAAACAAATCAAAGAATGATATAGAAACTTACTTCAGCACTAATTCCTTCTTTGGCTAACTGTTCAGCAGCTTTCATCGTTGTTACCAAACCAATCGAATATGAAATAAGGGTTATATCTGTTCCTTCTCGCTCAATTTTTGCTTTACCAATAGGTACCATAAAATCGTTTTTCAGTGCCTCATCTGACATTGGGAATGTTTCGCTATATAACAATTCATTCTCCAACATAACCACTAAAATAAAATAAAAATTAATAAACCTAAATTTAAGATCTTACCAAGCTACAATCTGCAATTTTAATTTTATTTTCAAATTCTGTTCCAATATTTTGTAAAAAATAGCACAAAAACTTAATCATCCGATAATATACATATTTTAAATTTTCATAGGATTTCTCAGCAATCCTGTCCAAATATTGCATAAAAGAACTTAATCGTCTAATTATATACATATTTTAAATTTTCTTACGAACGCTGTCCAAATATTTCAAAATGGATTTTTTTCACTGTTTCTAGAATATCGTACCAAATTATGATAGTAAATCTATTAAGTGTTTGAATCCAGTGACATTAATTTGCATTAGTTTGCAAACTTATTCACAGATACATAAGATTTGTGCACTTTAATTAGAAGATTTTAAATATAAAAAAAAATTTCTAGCTTATAAGGACCAAAAAATATTCTCGCAAATATAACTACTACCTACCGGGATTATCATCACGAACAGCTGACTTCAGCAAACCCTTTGCATCTTCAGCAGAATAAGGTGTAACAACCTGAAAAGTGAAAAATCACGAACCTGAATTATGCACTATAACACTCAGCGAAGAAGTTCATTTCAATAGTTCGTTCAAACATCAAAAGATTTCAAAGCTCAACAAAGTTTCAACAACGAACAATGTTTCAAACTATTGATGTATACAGCTGTCCGATCATAAAGCTTCTAACATCTAAATGGATCAGACGAAAGATGACAAAAATAACAACAACAATGAAAATTTGATCTCTTATTACAATAAGAGATCAAATTTTCATTTCTACTAATTTTGACTGATAAAAATCAGTTACAAACTATAAACAAGAAAAAGAATAAAATATGAAAACAAAAAATTAATGAAAGGATACCTTTAGTCCTGGACAATGAGCATACCATACCGTAAAATCTTGACTGTGTTGTGCGGCAACACCAGCAGCTGCTCCATTTGGTCCACGAAAAACAATCGGACAATTTAGCTAAATGTTTTTTTGATGTCATAAAGGCTATAGTTTTCTGACTAGTCACTGAATTTCTTTTTTTAACTAAAAGAAACTTTTTCTTGTTAAAAGAGACTAAAAGTGAACTTTGTTCTCTTCAAGTTTTCGTATTCTTGTTGTTATCTTCAATATGTAAAAAGTTTTAATGCTTTGATGTTAAGGTAAGGTATTAAAAAAGGGGAAAAAATTTTGTAATTTTGAAAAATTAAAGAAAGATAACAGCAGAAGCATTTTACCTGACCCGCTGACATATAATATGTCTTAGCTGCACTATTTATAATCTGATCAATACATTGCATGGAAAAGTTATAAGTCATAAATTCACAAATTGGACGAAGACCAGCAAATGCAGCACCAACTGCCAAACCACAAAAACCTGCTTCCGTAATTGGAGTATCTATGACACGAGATTCGCCAAATTTACGCATCAATCCTCTTGAAATCTTTAAAAAATAAACATTTAATTTTTGATCTATGTAAATTATTCAACAAAAAAATAATAAATGTAAATAATAATAATATATATGAATATAATTCTCTCTATTAAAATATCAGAAAATAATAAGCTAACAAGAGTTCGCATAGTTTGACTTTTTTTTTTCTGACATAAATCACAAAAGAAAAACGATGCACTTGCTTTTTTAAACGTTTGCCTTTGCCTTTTCCTTTTTTTTTTTTTTTTGATTTATATTAATCAATTTACCATAAATCATTAAGAAAAAAAAAAAGTGAAGATAAAAACTCATCTAACCACCTTTTAATATGAAGATAATATGAACACTGTAAGTGAACTTTTTTTTTAAAAAAAAAGAGAAATTATTACATAGTCTAGAAATTTTGAAAGTATAATTTTCTTCTTTCATTTTTTTTTTCTTAACTTAAAAATATTTAATTTGAAATAAAGTAATATTACTAGAATTAAAATATTAAATTAACTGCAATAATTCAAATGACAAAAATAATAGTAAATGATTAGTAAAATTAAGATATTAAATTAATTTGCAATAATTCAAATATTATTTTAGCAATAATATTAAATGGAATACCTTATAAGCACCATCATAATGTCCAACTTCTTCACCCAATAAAAAAACACGCTCATCGTGTGATAATTCCTCATCTAACGCCATCGAAAGTGCATCACGTACACTCATCGTTGATGCAGCAAATTTTTGTCCAAATTGAGAGACATTCTTTACAGGTAAACGACCAATTATTCCAATTAATTTATTTAATGCCATTTTATAACCTTTATCAATTGCTTTACTGAGTTCCACTGATAAAAAAAGCCTGAAAAAAAAAGAGAGAGAAAACAAATAAAATATATAAAATAATTATGCATACATATATTTATAAAACAACATAATTTAGAAAAAAAAAAAAGAAAATAATAATAATTCCAGTTAAAGTATAAAGTATTAAGCTTAGTAACTGTCAACTATTTTTGCAAAAATTATATAAACATAATACGTTTAATCGTAATAGCTCAATCAGATAAGCATTAATTTCATCTATTCATTACCATAAAATAGAAATAACATTCAATTAAGTAATCTGAACACAAATAAAAATATAATACCAACAATCTACACCTCACCTCTTCCTTAGAATTACAATGAATGAAAGTATTCATGATTTCATCCTAGTAATATTTATATAAATTTGTTTAATTCCTAATTTATTCATAAAAAAATGCAAAATTTCATTTGATAAACATAATTTCAAATCATAAATCAATGAAGATCACAAGATACATAAATACAAATTCATTCATTCATTCATTCATTCAAATGCTCCAATAAAAAACAAACTCTCTTACATAGGTTCATAGGTCAACAATATAAATGGAAGGACAAAGAGGAAAAAAAAAAAAGCAGCAGCTATAAATAGAATGAGTGAAGAAAGCAGTAAACCACCTAAATGTCAAAGGTCAACAATAAATATCTCAACGAATATTACAAATAAGAAGACAAGAAAGTAAGCCTTGTAGTTTTTATTTTT